ATTATTCTACTGGCAATTCATGGTACTTTCAATATCCTTCTTCAACACCATAACTCAAATGGATCAATTCTTCTACTGTCTATCCTATGCATTGTCCAACTTGCATATAAGGCTACTGAAATACCATGGCTTGGGTCAGGTGCACCATAATCTCACACTGATACTTTTGCTCTTGAACACTTTAAAGCGGCCTTGTGAAGCAGATCTGTCTAATGCAATATGGTGATTTCTTGACTCTTGTTTCCATGAGCATGGATTATGGATCCAAGTAAAATGAATTTTTTGACAACTTTAATCTTTTCTCCATTTATCATAATGTTATTTATTGATCCAGTTGTGAGGATTCTTGTTTTCTTTACATTGAGGTATAATCCATACTGGAGGCTATAGTCTTTGATCTTCATCAGTAAGGATTTTAAGTCTTCTTTTTTGCTTTCAGAAAAAAATCATCTGCATATTTCATGTTGTTAATGAATCTTCCTCCAATCCTGATGTCATATTCTTCTTCATATAATCCAGCTTCTCCAATTATTTGCTCAGCATATAGAATGAAAAAGTATGGGGAAAGAATACAGCCCTGGCACACACCTTTCCTGATTTCCAACCATATAGTACCTTCTTGTTCATTTCTCACAATTGCCTTTTGGTCTATGTACAGGTTACTCATATGCGTAATTAAGTGTTCTGGAATACTCATGTTCTGCAATGTTATCCATACTTGCCATGATCCATGGTCAAAAGCCTTTGTATAATCAATAAAATACAAGCAAATATCTTTCTTGAATTCTCTGCTTTCAGCAAAGATCCATCTGACATTAGCAATGAATTTCTGGCAGTTTCCTGTTGATGTACTGCTGAAACAGTTTGGGAATTATCTTCAGTAAATTTTTACTTGCATGTAATATTGATGATATTGTTCAATGATTTCCACATTCCTTTGGGTCACCTCTCTTTGGAATGGGCATATATATGGACATCTTCCAATTCGTTGGCCAGGTACCCAGCTTGCAAATTTCTGGACACAGATGAGTGAGTGTTTCCAGTGCTGCATGAGTTTGTTGAAAGATTTCGATTTATATTCTGTAATTTTTGGAGCCCTGCTTTTCTCTAATATCTTCACTGTAGCTTAAACTTCTTCCTTCAGTACCATCAGTTCTTGAGCATATGCTACCTCTTGAAATAGTCGAATATTGACCATTTCTTTCTGGTTCAGTGACTCTGTATATACCTTCCATCTTCTTTTGATGTTTTCTCTTCATTCAGTATTTTGCCTATGGAATCCTCAATACTTCAATACTGCAAGTTGAGGATTGAATTTTTTTCTTCAGTTCTTTGAGCTTGAGTTGTGCCCACATGCAAATGAAAGTCCTGAAAGCTTTACTCCATTTACATCATCAGTCAACTCTACTTTGAGGAATGCAGCTCTTCCCCAGTTGTATTTTGAGTGCCTTCCAACATGAGGAGCTCATCTTCAGGCACTATATCTGAACATACTGTGATGCTTTTATAATGTTTTCAGCTTCTGGAACTATATCTGACAGTGTTCCACTGTTATTCATAAGGCTTTCCGTAGCTAAACATCCAGGAGAAGTATGCCTTTCCTTCTTCATAGTCTGTCTTAGTCTGGAAGATCTGCTGAAACCTGTCCCTCATGGGTGACCCTGCTGGAATTTAAAATACCCATGGCATACCTTCCAGCATTACAGCAACATGCAAGCCACCATAGTACAACAAACTGACAGATGAGTGGTGAGGACATTCAGTTAGAAAAATGCACATTTTATTAAAATATATATCAGAAATATGTAGTATTAAATAATAAAAATATAGAAAACTTGTAGTGATCACTGGTATTTTCTAATTTAAATTTATTAAAGATAAAAATCTGTCTTCAAGACTACTATTGGGAATTTCATAGCCTCTTAAATCTGTCTCTAACTAGATAAAGTTTTAGTCTATTCTCTATTCTTCCTTAGCCAGATAGGAAGTGCATTAAAAGTAGAGACATCTTCTCTCAGAAAAGTATTAAGGCCTGAATATATGGAATAGCTCTATGTAAGAAATATTTATTTACTGTAAGTATAAGAGGTACAAAAAGTACCTCTGAAAGTACTAAACAATTTATAGTGGGACTGTGATACAGCTATGCTTTAAAATAAAGTAGTCTATGGAGTCCCAAAACACCCAACATACTTACATTTATTTATATATATCAATGTAGTCTATAGAGTCCTGATATGGTGTTGTAAGATAAGCACTGGACTGATAACCTAAAAGTTGGTGGTTCAAACCTCCCAGTTGCTCCTTGGAAACTCTAAACAAGGTGGCAATGAGTTGATACTGACTTGATGGCATTTAACAAAAACAAAATTATTTCTAAGTCTCATACTTAACTACTTAATTTGTTCATTTAAAATAGAGGTAAAAACACATGTATAATAAAGCATGATATTTACTATGTTACCAAATGAAAAACAAAATATGAAAAATGATCAATATATTTCTAAACTATCATACATTTTTAAGACCCATGATCTTGAATTCAAATAGCCACTGAATATATAAATATTTACTCATTACCACTGAGTTTTGGTATTATGACAACATCTATCTATTCCATAAATTGGGCATAGCAGGACAAGTTCAGTTCTCTAATTGATTGTTTCAAATAAATTATGAAGCTAATAATTTTTTCATATATGTTTAGCATATTAGTAAAAGAGAAAATTAAAGTTAATCTATAAAAGTTTTACATTGTTAGCAATTTTCATGGGAATCTGACATGGAAAATTATAAAACTGTACTTACCTTTTTCATCTGCTTTATCTTTTATTGCTATGGTATCATTACTCAGAGACACAGTCTGTGCATTCAGAATATCTGTTCTCATTCCAGGAAATTTTGGAGAAGAAATAAAGCGCCCTTCATAAGAATATAAATAGATACCACTGCCATCTACAAGAAGAAAATGTCTAAAACATAAGGTATAAAAATAAATTCTCAAATAGGAGTTCGTCATACAATATTAACATTTTTATATTAGAGAATACTTTATCCTATGGAAAAATCTAAATCTTATCATAAAGATAACAAGTACATGCTGTTAAGTGCCATCAAATTGGTTCTGACCCATAGCAACACTGTTTAGGGTTTCTAAGGAGCAGCTGGTCAGCTTGAACTGCCAACTTTGCTGTCCAAACAGACTTTGCAGTCTAATGCATTAACCCACAGCACCACACCAGGACTCAATCAGTACACACATCTTTATGTAATAAATACATAGATATATAAAAAACTGAAACTCAATATTGACTCTTTTTTCCCCGGGTTTTGGGTTTTTGATGAAGGTAAGAAAAGAAAATGAAAATTCCCATAATCACCATACTATAAGTTAAAATTTAAACTTCTTTTATGTTATACCTATAATCTAGTTCTCTTTCTAAAGAAGCATCTATATACAAAGGTAATCTGAAATCCTTATCATTTACAATTTGGTGATCTTAGTATCTGGTGACACTAGTTTCATGGAGTATTTATAATTAAAGATTAAACACACTGGTTAAAATCCAGAACAATGAAAATAACTAAAAAATGAGGAGTAGGGAGAGCATTTATTAAAATATGACTCTTCTGACTTTAAAGTCACATGGTGATCTTTGATAAATGTATTCAAATTTTAAAACTCATATCTTTCTACAGCAGAGACTCAGCGGATTCATTTGTAGTGTTGACAGCTATAATCTAGGAATAGGGTTCTATGTAGTTTAATTTTTTATTAGATAAAAATGTAAATATATTATTGTTGTTATTTTTTCATTTGAAAATGTATGGTCATTATAAAAAATTTCAAGCAATATGGAAGAAACAAAAGAATCCTTGCAATTCAACCTTCATAGAAATAACTATGGCAAACAGAAAATATGGATATACCATAATTATCTTAATTTACTCCTGATGGCCATTTATGTTATTTTAAATGTTTTACAATTTTGAAGAATGTGTATGTATGTATATATACATACATACAGGACTCTGTATATATATATATACACAGAGAGAGAGAGTCCTGGTGTGGCACTGTGAACTAATGCATGACTTCAAAGTCGTTTGAACCGCAACGTCAGTGGTTCAAGCTCACCAGCTGCTCCTTGGAAACCCTATACAGGGTCACCATAGGTCGGAACCGACTCAAAAGCACTTAACAACAATATATATACATATATATACCCTACTCATTTCCTTAGTATAACTTATAAAAGCAAAATTACTAGCTCAAAGGGTATACACTTTTATACTTTTTATAAATATTGCCCTTTAAAAAGTTGTATTGATTTACATGCACACTACTACAAGATTGAAGTTCCTATTATCTCAAGGCGAAGACATTATTACTCTTAAAATTCTTAACTTTAAAGTCTTAGTATTATTAATTAAAAAATACTTTTTTGTTTTGGAATTGCAAATTGTTCTTTCTTGCTGTGTGTGTGGTATGGAAGTGATCAGAAAATAAATATTTAAAAATCAAAACCAATGAAAACTTATAGCTGATGAATAACATATATACTATAATTAAACTAATACTTGAGATATTAATTGGCCACTTTGAGTCCATGGGTGGTACAAAAATCAATGCTGCTAAATGAAAGGATGGAAGTTTGAATTCACAGAGATGCCTTGGAAGAAACGCTTGGTGATGGACTTCTGAGAAATCAGTAGAACATAGTTCTACTCTGAGACACATGGTACACCAGGAGTTGGAATCAACTCAACAACAGTGCTTTAACTGGTTATTTATCTGAAGGATTTGGCCTTTACAAGAGACTACTAGTATATGAAAGCCTTATTTGTTAATCTTGCAAAGTGACACATCATATTAGTATACATTCTTTAAGAACAAAAATATTTTTTTCTCCTAAATAAGACATTGTAACTTTTAACCTCACTGTGAGTAAACACCATATTTCAGGGGACAAGCTTCTATAAATGTACATATAAGACCAGCGGCATAAGCACTTACTAAAATACTTGTACCTAATTATTTATGTCATTACTAAAAGCATATTCAATGAATAAATTTATAAATAAATTTATTTGAAACTGTTAAGAGTAAAGGGAGTTTCAGAAACATGGTGTTTTAGATGCTTGACATCTCTTCTTTTTAATGACAAAATGTCTTGTTTAAATTTTTTTTAATAGATGCATATTTAAACTTCATTAAACAGATGATACAAAATTTGACATGACATTTCCTTGATCATTCAAGGTCATCATCTCTATGATAATTATCCTCTATAGCAACTGTTTAACTGATAGCTTTGATACTCATGAGAATCTGTGCATCAGAGTAATTATGCTATTCAGATCCACAGTTGTGTGCTTTTAGTTTTCGCTATACTCCCTTGCCAGGCAGTCACTTTTCTTCCTGTCATCGTGCCAGCCTCTAACAGCCCACCAGCACCATTCCTCTTCTGACTTGCTATTTATAAAAGACTGTGGGCTAGAAAACCTGATAATAAACACTATTAAGTGCTGCCTTGGTGGTGAGTAAGTGGAGTGAGGAATAAAATAACATGGTTTTAGTGCAAAGGTTTTACGGGTGGCTATTTTAGATAACTGTCGATTATACTTTCATACTTTAATCCAGGTATTATTGGGCTGTCTTTTTCTAACTCTGATCTCTGACACAGTAGGGTAATCATTAGGGTTCTTGACAGACAATACACATTTTCAAGGAAAAGTGTACATTTCTGAGTAATAAATATTCCCAATTTACTTCAATTAATTGGTCTATAGTGGTTTACTACTGTATACAGTGGTAAGAAGACCTTGGTAGAGGATACTATTTTGAAAACTTCTGATCACATCTCAATGGTGGTTCATGAAATTATTAAGCTTCAACTAATATTTAAAAACAAAAACAGAACTGGACAGAACACAAAATAGTGGGCTCTTCAGGTGAAAACTTGTCATCAATTGTCACTGAGTTGGCTCAGTGTATAACAGAAGGAAACACTGCCCTGTCTGCTGTCATCTTCACTGATGTTGGTATGCTAATCTATTGTTGCAGTCACTGCGCATGTGGAGGGCCTTCCAAACTACACAACTCATCTTCTAACAGTGTTTTAGACAATATTCTGTTGTGACCTACAGGATTTTCATTGGCTAATTTTCAGAACCACCACTCATCTGTCAGTTTATCGTACTGTGGAGACTTGTGTGTTGCTGTAATGCTGGAAACTATGCCACGGGTATTTTAAATACCAGCCTTCAGCTGAGTTTCCAGACTAAGGCAGACTAGGAAGAAGGAGTGATGGACTACTTCTGAATGTTCACCCTCTGAAAACCTTATGAATGCCAATGGGACACTAACACATAGTACCAGAATACTAAATATTGAAACATGATGAATATAGCACCAGAATACTTTCAGATGTAGTGCCAGAAAATGAGCCCCTCGGACTGGAAGTCACTCAAAAAAATATGACTGGGAAAGAGCTATCTCCTTACTTCCCATGATAACCTCTACAAATGGAGTAAATCTTTCAGGACCTTCATTTGCTGATGAAGCATGACTCAAAATGAGGAGAAACAGCAATAAATATCCATTAATAATCAGAACATGGGATATACGAAGTATCAATTTAAGAAAATTGGAAACCGTCAAAAACAAAATGGAATGCATACACATCAATATCCTAGGCATTAATGAGTTTAAAATAGACTGGTATTGACCATTTTAAATATGACAATCATTTGGTTTAATACGCTGGGAATGATAAATTGAAGAGGAATGGAATTACACTCACTATCAAAAAGAACACTTCAAGATCTACCATGAAATATAATGCTCTCCAATCGCCTACACCGAAGGCTAGTTACTACTATTATTCAAATTTATGCACCAACCACTAAAACCAGTGATGATGAAATTGAAGAATTCTACCAACTTCTTCAGTTTGAAACTCATCAAATATGCAATCAAGATGTCCTGATTATTACTGGTGATTGGAATGCAAAGGTTAGAAACAAACACGTGAAAATATAGCCTTGGTGACAGAAACAATGCTGGAAATTTACAAGACCAATGACTTGTTCATTGCAAATACCTTTTTAAGCAACATAAAAGATGATTATGGAGGGTCGCTATGTGTTGGAACTGACTTGATGGTACTTAACAACAAAAATATATACATGTTCCTCACTAGACTGAATACACAGAAATCAAATTAACAACATCTGTAGGAAGATGTGGAAAAGCTCCATATCATCCACCAAACAAGGCCAGGGCCAGACTGTGGAACAGACCATCAATTACTTATAAACAAGTTCAGACTGAAGCTGATGACAATTAAGTCCATCAGGGCCAAAATTTGACCTTGAACACACCCCATCTGAATTTAAAGATCATCTCAAGAAAAGATTTGATACACTAGACAAAATGACCAAACACCAGAAGAGTTGTGAGATGACATCAAGAACATCATACAGGAAGAAAGCAAAAGGTTATTAAGAAAACAAGAAAGAAGGAAAAGACCAAAATGGATATCAGAAGATACTCTGAAACTTGCTATCCAGTGTAGATGTTAAAGCAAATGCAAGAAATGAGGAAGTAGAAGAGATGGACAAAAAAATTGCAAAGGGAAGCTCAAGAAGACCAAGTCAAGTATTACAGTGAAATATGCAAAGACCTGTAGTTAGAAAACCAAAAGAGAAGAACATACTCAGCATTTCCTCAGCTGCAAGAACTCAAGAAAAAATTGAAGCCTCAACTTGCAATAGTGAAGGATTCTATTGGAAAAATATTGAATGATGCAGAAAGCATCAAAAGAAGATAAAAGGAATATACAAAGTCACTGTACCAAAAAGATATGGTTGATGTTCAACGATTTCAAGAGACAGCACATGATCGCCTTTCCAACATGGCACAGTCAGTTAACATCACGGAGCTGAATTTTCCACAGCTAGGAATGCTCAAGAACCAGCTGGACCAGGAAGCAGAGTTCCTATCTACCTCCACTGGCCAGCTCAAGGTGGTACAGACCAAGTATGTGGAAGCCAAGGACTGTCTGTCTGAACATGCTGAACAAGAGGAACAAGGGGAAAGAATTACTTGTCCCACTGACAAGCTCTATGTATGTTCCTGGAAAATTACATGTGTGGAACATGTGCTCATCGATGTGGGAACTGGCTACTATGTAGAGAAGAAAGTTGGGATGCCAAGGACTTCTTCAAGAGGAAGATAGACTTTCCCACCAAGCAGATGGAGAAAATCCAGCCAGCTTTACAGGAGAAGTATTCCATGAAATAGATCGTCATGGAGATGATGAGCCAGAAGATTCAGAACCTCACAACTCTGGGAGCATCTCAGGCTGCTGCCAAGGCCTGAGTTTTATTGCAGATATGGAGCAGAGGAAACCCTGCTTCAGGGGCCTGTGACTCTGAGGGCATGGCTTCCTGGTGTGTGTTGGACGTGGGGCATGGGGATCTTGTGGATCATGTGTTTAATGTTAATAAATGTGCCAGGTGAACAGCAACAAAAAAGAGCACATGATCAAGAGCCAATGGTACTGAAGGAAGAAGTCCAAGGTGTACTGAAGCCATTGGCAATAAACAAGGTTCCAGAAATTGGTGGGAGGACAAATTGATATCTTTCATGCAGCATTGGAGGCACTCACTCATTTATGCTAAGAAATTTAGAAGACAGCTATGTGACCAACTGATTGGAAGAGATCCATATCTGTGCACATTCTAAAGAGAGGTGACCCAACAGAATATGGATATCATTAATATCACATACAGCAAGCAAAATTTTGCTAAAGATAATACAAAAATAGCTGCAACAGTACATTGACAGGGAACTGCCATAGGTTCAAGCCAGATTCAGATGAGGATGTGGAATAAGGAATATCACTGCTGACATTAGATGGATCTTTGCAGAAAGCAGAGAATACCAGAAAGATGTTTACCTGTGTTTTAATGACTACATAAAGGCTTTCAATGGTTCAGATCATAACAAGATATAAACAATACTACAGAGAATACATATTCCAGAACACTTAATTGTGCTCATGAGGAACCTGTACATAGACCGAGAGACAGTTGTTTAAATAGAACAATGGGACACTGAATGGTTTTAAATTCAGAGATGTGTGTGCCAGGGCTGTATTCTTTGACCATACTTATCCAATCTGTATACTGAACAAAATAATCAGAGAAACTAGATTATATGAAGAAAAATGTGCCTCAGGATTAGAAGAAGACTCATTAACAACCTGCAATAAGCAGATGATACAACCTGCTCACTGAAAGCGAAGAGGACTTAATATATTTACCAGTGAAGATTAAAGACCACAGCCTTCAGTATAGGTTGCACCTCAGTGTAAAACAAAACAAAAATCCTCACAACTGGACTAATAAATAGCACGATGATAAGCTGAGAAAAAATAGAAGTTGTCAAAGACTTTATTTTACTTGGATCCACACTATCAACACTCATGGAAGCAGCAGCCAAGAAATCAAATGACATTGTATTAGGCAAATTTACTACACAAAACCTTTTAAAGATGGCAGTTTGAAGACTAAGGTGCGCCTGGCCCAAGAAGCCCTGGTATTTTCAATAGCTTCATATGCACGCGAAAGTTGAACAGTGAATACAGAAGACCATAGAAGAATTAATGCATTTGAGTTATGGTTTTGCAGAAGAATATTAAAGAGCTGGACTGCTAACTACAAGGTCAGTAGTTGGAATCTACCAGTCGCTCAGCAGGAGAAAGATGAGGCTTTCTGCTCCCATAAAGATTTACAGCTTCAGAAACCATATACCAGGTTGCTATGCGTCAGAAACAACTCAGTGGCACACTACCACCAACAACAACAACAACAACTGCTAGAAGAACAAACAAATCTGTGTTGGAAGAAGTACAACCAGAAAGCTCCTTAGAATCCAGAATGGCAAGACTTCGTTTCTCAAACTTCAGAATTATTATCAGGTGGGACCAGTTACTGGGGAAGGAAATCATGCTAGGTAAAGTAAAGGGTCAGCGGGAAAGAGGAAGACCCCAATGAAATGGATTGACACAATGACAGCAGCAAGGGGCTGTGTAGTAACAATTATGAGGATGGCACAGGATGGAGCAGTACTATGTTCTGTGGTGCATAAGATTGCTCTGAGCAGCAACTGACATGACAGCACCTAACAACAACAACAACAATTTTTAGAAGTAGATAGCCAGGCCTTTCCCCTAGTCTATCTTAGTCTGGAAGCTCCACCTGAAGAGTCACCCCATGAGTGACACCGCTTGTATTTAAAATACCAGTGGCGTAGCTTCCAACATCATAGCAACAGAATACAAAAAAACTGACGGATGATCAGTACAGATCAAATTATTTTATAATTATTTGCCTGTATCGCTCTCATTCTCTTATATCATCACTCTGATGTTTAACTGTAATAAGTTTATTACTATCATTTAAAATTAAATTTTAAACTTCTCAGTTTAATTTTGAATATGGTAACTGCTGTTTGAGATATTTTAACGCAAAATTCTATAGTCAAACATTAATAAAGAAACTACCTTTCAGCCTGCAGGATGAGACTAACAGTTCCTTCCTTGAGGTCAAATATAAGAGGTGTATTCCAGTTCTTCGTACTAAAAAACAAATAAGGTGGATGTTTATTAACATTTTACATACCAAATACCTTTTAGTAAGTACACAGGTACTCATTCTAAATAAAGTAACTATAGTTTTATTATAACTTTGTGTATACTTTTTATGACAGCTTTAGCACATTGCTCTACAGGTATTTTTGTTTTTAAGTACTGCTGAGTTGGTTCCAACCCCTGGTGACCCTGTACAGGGTTTCTGAGGAGCGACTGGTGAGCTTGAACCACCGACTTTGCAGTTCAAACCGATTGTGCAGACTACCGCATTAACCCACAGCGCCACACCAGGACCCCTATTCAAGTATAAATTATACTTAATTTAATATATAAATTATATGTAAGTATGAATCTATATATGGAGTCCTGGTGTGGCGCTGTGGGTTAATGCGTCAGACTGTAAAGCCGTTTGAACTGCAAGGTCGGTGGTTCAAGCTTACCAGCTGCTCCTCGGAAACCCTATACAGGGTCGCTATGAGTCATAACTGACTCAACGGCACTTAACAACAGCAACAACAATAAATATATATAATGTAAATATTATAAATATAAATATATAAAAATATATTTGTATTAATATATAAATTCAAATATAAATTAAAGTATACATTCAAGTGTAAATTCAAAGTAAATTCAAGCATATATTCAAGTATAAATTGGAGTCTCCCTGTTCCCAGTATCAAGCACATATTAGGTTATGTTATTAGGTTATGCTTATGGTTGGTATTATAATGTGTGAATTGAGGATTCCTAAGAATAAGTCCTAGTTCTGCCATTTATTAGGTATGTGCATTAGAACAACTGATTTATGTTTCTCATCTGAAAAACAGTAGCAGAATGACAATGAAAAGAGGAAAGGCTTTTGGTTTCATATATCTAGATTAGAAATGAGGTTTTACCACTTTCTGGTTATATGACTAGCAAGCTTAACCTTTAAGCATCAATTTCCTTATCTGAAAAATGAGGATAGTGATGACTTAAAGAAAATGTCTGGAAACTGTCCATTATATAGCAAACACTCAAAAAACAGAAGCTAAATATCAACAACATTGATGAGCATGATTATTTTTCTATAAGTGTCTCATCATTATTATTGGGTTGAAATAATAGTTCTGTGAAGCATTTTGTAAATTGTAAAATACTATGTAAATATAAACTATGACCAAGCTTATTGAATACAAGGATGAAGAAATGAAGAGAAAACTCCTTTTGTTATGATAGGGTAATAAGATTCAAATATTAGAATGAGTGGAGAGAACACTTATGAATTGAAAATCCATCCTTGAATACTGAAAGTTGCTTCACAATTTAAATTATTTTTATTACACCTGTATACTATTGCTAATTTATTGTCATTTTATTTTATGCATGAATTTACATATTAAAATGAATATCAGACTCTGAATTGTTGTTGTTGTTGTTAAGTGCCATGGATCCAGTTCTGACTCATAGCAACCCTGTATAGGGTTTCTGAGGAGCAGCTGGTGAGTTTGAACTGCTAACCTTATAGTTAAAACTGACCTTGTGATTCAGTGCTTATCTTCCAGCACCACACCAGGATTCCAGACTCTGAATTAGCCAAGCTAAATTTCCAGTTTGGTTATTAACTGAACCCCTATCCCATCTATTGGATCTTAATATGAGATTTACTCTGATTTAAATAATTAGTTCTATGCAAATAATTGAGAAAGACTCAGAATATACATTGTTGTTAAGTGCTATCAAGTTGGTTCCAAATCATAGTAGCAGTGGTGAATGTCCGGCTGGTAGTCTGGATGTTGTTAAGTGCCATCAAGTCAGCTCCGACTCATAGTAACCCTATATAGGGTTTCCAAAGAACAGTTGGTGAGCTTGAACTGCTGACCTTATGGTTCAAACCGACCTAGAATTCCAGAGCATTAATAGAAATCTTCTAGAATGGCTCTGCTAAGGCAACTGCAATTCCAGCCATCACACTGTTGTTAAGTGCCTTAAAGTCAGTTCCGACTCATAGCAACCCTGTAAGGGTTTCCAAGGGGCAAGTTAATTAAATGTTTGACCAAAACTAGCAGGCTAATTTTCAAGTTGGTAATTTTGTATGCCCTACGAATGATGTTATAAATTTCGGCAGAATAAAGGTTCCCCATCACTTCTGTATAGGGTTCCAAGGAGTGGCTGGGTGGGTTTGAACTGGCAACCTTGATTTAGAAGTCCAGTGCTCATCCTACAGTGCCACACTGGGTATACATACGGTGGTGAATAATATAGTCTCTAATCTCAACTTTATATTCAGTGATTAAACAGTAATTCCATCAAAAATGCTTACCTATTCTTGGAAGTGTTAAATATGGTGATTACATGAGATTTCTGAGTAATTAAAGAGTTAGTCAATGGTGTCTGTTAAGTTTTCAGGGATTTTGTAAACTGATTGTTAAATATAGTCATTATTAAGATTTAAATTATATAAACTAACATTGCTGTTATTAAGTGCCAGCGAGTCAGTTCTGACTCATAGCGACCCTGTATAGGGTTTCCAAGGAGCAACTGATGGGATTTGAGCTGCTGACCTGTGGTTCACAGTCCAGTATTGAGTAAATTATATTCAAAGATAATAAATACTCAAAACTCTTTATTTCCAAATGACTTAATCATATTATCCTATTATTATGCACTATTGTCCTGGTGTGGCTCTGTAGGATAATGTACTGGACCACCAGGTGGGTTTGAACCTCAGGGTGGCAGTTCAAACCTACCAGCCAGTCCTTGGAAACCCTATACAGAGTAACTATGAGTCGAAATTGACTTGAGGGCACTTAACAACAACATTATTATGTACTTGATATCATTTTTATCTATTGTATCTCTATGGTAGAAATACTATACAATGGTTTGCTACTTGGTATCTCTTCCCAAATCTGCTTTCAATGACACTGGTAGCATGAAATCATAAAAATCATCAAACATTAAAAAACAAAATCAGGTTGGTTTTTGTCCGGAAAGCTAGTTATTAAACATTTGTCAGTACTCCTTTACAATATGAAGCATATTTTCAACCAGTTTTAGGTGCAACTTTCTTAAGTGTATTTAATCATTGCTACCTTCTAATAAGGAGTCCTGGTGTGGCACTGTGGGTTAATGCGCCAGACTGCAAAGCCGTTTGAACTGCAAGGTTGGTGGTTCAAGCTCACCAGCTGCTCCTTGGAAA